GCGGGAGCTGGGACGAGGGCCGGGGGCTCAACCCGGCCGCGGTGGGGATTCGAACAGCCATTATGGCTGTTCGCTACAGATATTATCAACAGACTGGAAGGAAAGGCATGTAAAAACTTCTACCCCAATAAAAAACCCAATAATCTCTATTCAAAGGAATTTACTGCAGAAAGTGAAATACATATCCTATAATTTGAGAGATACATTTGAGTTTATATGTACAAGAGCAATCACATTATATCTCATGGCAGCAGAATCGGGATTTGAACCTGGGTTTCCCATTTCCGAGTCAGATACTTTAACTACTATATAACTCTGTCTACCTATGTTCTGAAAACACTATAGGTCTCTGCTGCTGTAGACTTTTTATTTGCTGCCGAAGCAAGAATGTCAAGAAATAGTGTTAGCATGTTCACTTTCTAACTTCTGTTAGAATCGAAGAAGAAGAAGAGTTGGATTTATACCCTGCCCTTCACTCTGAGTCTCAGAGTGGTTTATAATCTCCTTCACTTCCTCTCCCCACAACAGACATCCTGTGAGGTAGGTGGGGCTGAGAGAGCTCTGACAGAACCTGCTCTTTCAAGAACAGCTCTGACAGAACTGTGATTGACCCAAGGTCACTCCAGCAGCTGCATGTGGAGGAGTGGGGAATCAAACCCAGTTCTCCAGATTAGAGATTAGGGCAAAAAAGGGAAGGGGCCGTGGCTCAATGGTAGAGCATCCGCTTGGCAGAAGGTTCCAGGTTCAATCTCTAGCATCTCCAGTTAAAGTATCAGGCAGTAAGTGATGTGAAAGACCTCAGGCTGAGACGCTGGAGAGCCAATGGCAGTCTGATTAGACAATACTGACTTTGATGGTCTGATTCAGTATATACAACAAATACACAAGGATGGGCACAGTCAATAGACCAGCGGAAAAAGAAAAAACTGTGACAAATAAACGCTAATAATATATTCAAGAATCAATTTACAATAACAAAATAGGTGAACATTATATTTGGAGGCATTCAGCAATAATAGCCCATTGAAGAACCTAGCTTGTAAGCATAGTATCATAATGGAGCGAATTTTGATACGTCACCAAGAGAAATGAATTGTTGAAAGACAGTTTATGTATACATCCTTGATCAGAAGAAGATCGTTTGTCGAAACGGCAGATCATTCCGGAGACCACTGTCTACTTTCACCAAATATAATGTTCACCTATTTTGTTATTGTAAATTGATTCTTGAATATATTATTAGCGTTTATTTGTCACAGTTTTTTCTTTTTCCACTGATTCAGTATGTCTGCTTCACGTGAGGCATAAAATTATAATTAATTTAGAAGGCATTGCCAGGTATTACACCTGTAGCCTGCATAGATTCTTACATATCTTAGATGCTGCAAGCTGACAAGATATTTAAAGCAGTGACTTCTCCATGAAGAAGCCAGTTTGGTGTAGTGGTTAAGTGCGCGGACTCTCATCTGGGAGAACCGAGTTTGATTCCCCATTCCTCCACTGGCACCTGCTGAATGACCTTGTGCAAGCCATAGTTCTGTCAGGGCTGTTCTTGAAAAAGAGCTGTTTCTGTCAGAGCTCTCTCAGCCCCACCTACCTCACAGGGTGTCTATTGTGGGGGGGGGGAGGGAAAGGAGTTTGTAAGCCGCCCTGAGACTCCTTTGGGTAGTGAAGGGTGGGGTATAAATCCAATCTCTTCCTCTTCTTCCTCCTCCTCTTCTTCCTCCTCCTCTTCTTCTTCCTCCTCTTCTTCTTCCTCTTCTTTTTCCTCTTCTTCTTTCATTGCCAGAGTAGACAAACCTAATACCTGGTTTGTCTCTAAAAGCATGCTGTTGTAGAAACAGAAGGGCAGTAACACAGCGTTGAAGAAAGGAAAACATTCATCAAGGTGATACTAATGACATTAAAATATTGTGGGTTTGTTTCACATGTTTCCACTATGGCATTTTTATCTCTCCTAGTTCTAAGAGTCTCTTTCCCCTAATTTTAACCCTAGTATGGTGCTATGGATAGGGAGTGGGTGACCTTGGACCAGTCGCACATCCTCAGACTGACCTAATTCATATCTTTCTAGTGAAGGTAAAATGAGGGAGAGGAGAATGTTGTAAGACACTTTAGGTCCCTGTCAATATTCCCTCTAAGCTGAGTTAGTGTGAGCTAGCTCACAGTTTTTTAGCCTCTGGCTCACACATTTTTGTCTTAGCTCAGGAAGGATGGCTCCAGAGCAGACTAATCTATGCAGTAGTCAAATTGCTCACTCACAACTTTAATGCCAGTAGCTCACAAAGTAGAATTTTTGCTCACAAGACCCCACAGCTTAGAAGGGAATGTTGGTTCCCCGTTGGTAATAAAAGGTAAAAAATTGCAAGTAGATAAATAGGTACCACTTCAGTGGGAAGGTAACAGCATTCCGTGCGCCTTGGTGTTTAGTTATGCTGGCCACATGACCATGGAAATGTCTTCGGACAGTGCTGGCTCTTCGGCTTGGAAATGGAGATGAGCACCGCAACCCTAGAGTCGGATTTGACTGGCTTTCGAGCAAGGGAAACCTTTACCTTTACTAGTCTTATCATAAAATATGGTCTGTCACTTAGTGTCTCGATGCTTTCATCTTATGCATTATCGTCAGTGGATGCTAAGAAAGTATTAGCTGTCATGGTTGGTTTATAATAATATAGTTCGGCAGGAACATTGGGTATATACTAGATGTCTTCTTCATATTTCACCTGAATTTCCTACAGGTCTAACTTTATTGAAGAAAGTTTTTTAAATACTTTTTATATAAAGTTTTAAAACTGATAACAAGTATCTAATTTAATTCATTTGCACTTCTCTGATTAGCTGCAGGGATTTATAAATGGTAAAATTAATAAAATAAATGCTTGAATAAATAAATAAATAAATAAATATAAATGTTGTTTATTCCCAACAACGATTTTATATGCAAAGGAAATACAAAAAGTTCAGAAGGAAATATTGCCAGTTAATCCAGCTTTCTCTGTCTAGCAACCGGTACAGGGGGGCTACTCTCTGCCCTAAAGGTCCTGCCCTGATTCCCAGTACTGGATTAGAAGCGACCACTGGGACAAGCATTTGGAGGTTAAGCGATTTTCTCTGCCTGGCGTGATCCCAGGGGCCGTCTTAGGACCTGGTAGATCGATTCAAGGATTGAAGAGTGAGTTGCCGTTGAAACGAGACACTAAAGCCTAGACGTGAAGTCCCTCTACTATAAACGTCTAAACGGAGGGGGGGAGGGGATGCCCTATCTCCCGACGTTTTAAGCAAATGTGAAAGCAAGGATGGAGGGACTGATCAAATTGTGGTGATGGACTGTAGCGGAGAGTTTTTCTGAAAGAAAGCTGAGCGTTTAAACAGACCTTAGAGACTTTGGCGACAAGAGGTGAAGAGGGAGGGCGGGATCAATACTTTCTTCAGGAAGGAAAACAGTGGAAAGTTAGGTTACGTGACCTAACGATAGATTCTGTCTTTAAAGTGAATCGTGGGCCCTCTGGTGGCTAAAGTGAGAAGTGACCTGGATCTGTACTAAAAGCAGCTACACTTTTAAAGGGACAGTACGTTGATCATAGAGACATATGAATGGTAAGGAGACTCTAAAGTTTAGTTCTTTGTGGCTGGATTGGCAAGCTGATTGAAAAGCAGTTTTCTGGAGTAAAGGGCTCGCTACCCCAACTTTACAACATCTGCTTGCTAAGAGAAAAGTTGGAATCTCCAATGAGCGTGTTGTTGATGCAACAAAAGGAAAGACTCTTTTGATTTAAGACGTTTAAGGAAGCGAAGATGTCCCTAGAAAAAAGGAACTTGGTTTATCTCATGAATGGACAGATCCGGACTTATAAAAACTAAAAGATAATTGAAGAAAGAAGATACATCAAAGACGGAAGAAGAAAAACGTGTTGTAATGTTCTTACTGAGGGAACATTGGTTTTAAAGATCTTGCCTATGGGTGGGGAGTAAAGCGTAAAAGGAGATGCTAATTTTTTCTTAAGGGCTGTGATTATGTGTGTTATAGCTTTGGAATTACTCTCTGTTTAGTCAGATAAACTGGTTTTGTCAGCAGAAGTGATGATTGGCGGGCACTCTTCATGTTTGAAAGGAACTGTATAAGAGTAACAACTATGTTTTAAGCATTGTAAAACCTCCATTCTTGGGTTTTTAGTTAGGTTCTTTTTACTTTCTCCTATAGATTTTAGATTCACCCTCCCCAATTTCTGTTGTAGTTTTATAGAAATGCAAATAAAAAATTCCCCTTCGGGGGGGCCAAAAAAGAAAAGAAAAGGAGGCCCAGTTCTCCTGAACTGCTCCTCTGGACTTGATGCTCAGCTATGTTTCCCTGAAGCACTCATGAACTGCATAAGCTCTGCAGTTCATAATCAACTAAAATTTTAGTATGTTAGTCAGGGTAGCTGCACCTGATAAATAAATGAGTTGTTGTTATTTGAACATGACATCAAAATGCAGGGCTTAGTTCTCTGCTGTGAATTACAATCGCTTCGATGCATTGACTCTGTTTGCTTGCAGATTAGTACAATGAGAACAATATAGAGTCATACTACAGTGTTCATAATAAGGGAAATAGCTTGACACTTGGCATTTTTTCACATCATTACATAAGTAGTACGGATTTAGCAGCTCTTATAGAAGAGGCTGCCAGTTTAGCGGTGTGAAGTGATGGAACTACTGTTCTTCTAGTGTGATTGGAAAAAGTGATAATTGCTTCCTCAAGGTCAAAGCCATGCAGCATTTGTAGCTAAGTGGTGTCTCTTAGAACATGCAGCGTATTCTTGTGCAGGTGGTCATAAATGGAGAGTTATGAATTCATTACTAGCCGAGACATGACTGTCAGGTAGTACACTAACTTTTGTGCATGTGTTTCCCCTCTGGCAAGTGCTCAGTAACATTATGTTACTTTGTTGTTCAGTCGCACAGTCGAGTCCGACTCTTTGCGACCCCATGGACCAGATCACGCCAGGCCCTCCTGTCTTCCGCCGTCCTCTGAAGTTGGCTCAATTTCATGTTCGTTGCATCTATGGCACTGTCTAACCATCTCATCCTTTGCCGTCCCCCTCTTCTTTGACCATCAATCTTTCCCAGCATCAGGGTCTTCTCCAGTGAGTGCTCCCTTCTCATTTGGCGGCCAAAGTATTTGAGCTTCAGTTTCATTATCCAGGGAACAGTCAGGGTTGATTTCTTTTAGGATTGACTGATTTGATCTTCTTGCAGTCCAAGGGACTCTCAAGAGTCTTCTCCAGCACCATAGTTCAAAAGAATCTATTCTTCGGCGCTTGGCCTTCCTTATAGTCCAACTCTCGCAGCCATACATGACTACTGGGAATACCATTGCTTTAACCATGCGGACTTTTGTTGGCAGGGTGATGTCTCTACTTTTTATCATGCTGTTTAGGTTCGCCATCGCTTTCCTCCCAAGAAGCAGGCGTCTTTTAATTTCATGGCTGCTGTCACAGTCTGCGGTGATCTGAGATCCCAGGAACGTGAAGTCTGTCACTATTTCCACAACTTCCCCTTCTATTTGTCTGGCCTTCCAGGGAACAGTCAGGGTTGATTTCTTTTAGGATTGACTGATTTGATCTTCTTGCAGTCCAAGGGACTCTCAAGAGTCTTCTCCAGCACCATAGTTCAAAAGAATCTATTCTTCGGCGCTCGGCCTTCCTTATAGTCCAACTCTCACAGCCATACATGACTACTGGGAATACCATTGCTTTGACCATGCGGACTTTTGTTGGCAGGGTGATGTCTCTACTTTTTATCATGCTGTTTAGGTTCGCCATCGCTTTCCTCCCAAGGAGCAGGCGTCTTTTAATTTCATGGCTGCAGTCACAGTCTGCGGTGATCTGGGATCCCAGGAACGTGAAGTCTGTCACTACTTCCACGACTTCCCCTTCTATTTGCCAAGGAGTGATGGGGCCGGATGCCATGATCTTAGTTTTTTTGATGTTGAGCTTCAAGCCCACTTTTGCGCTCTCCTCTTTTACCCTGAGCAAGAGGCTCTTTAGGTCCTCTTCACTTTCTGCCATTAGAGTGGTATCGTCTGCATATCTGAGGTTGTTGATCTTTTCCCCAGCAATCTTAATTCCCGCTTGTGATTCATCCAGGCCAGCATTTCGCATGATGTACTCTGCATATATATTAAATAAGCAAGGTGACAGTATACATCCTTGTCGTACTCCTTTTCCTATGCTGAACCAATCAGTTGTTCCGTATCCGGTTCTAACTGTCGCTTCTTGGCCCTTATACAGGTTTCTCAAGAGACATGTGAGGTGGTCTGGTACTCCCATCTCTTTAAGGACCTGCCATAGTTTGTTGTGATCCACACAGTCAAAAGCTTTAGCATAGTCAATGAAGCAGAAGTAGATGTTTTTCTGGTACTCTCTTGCTTTCTCCATAATCCAACGAATGTTGGCAATTTGATCTCTCGTTCCTCTACCTCTTCGAAACCCAGCTTGTACTTCTGGCAGTTCTCTATCCATGTACTGTTGAAGCCTAGCTTGTAGGATCTTGAGCATGACCTTGCTAGCGTGTGATATGAGTGCAATTGTGCGATAGTTTGAACATTCCTTGGCATTGCCCTTCTTTGGGATTGGAATGTATACTGACCTTTTCCAATCCTGTGGCCACTGTTGCATTTTCCAAATTTGCTGGCAAATTGAGTGCAGCACTTTAACAGCATCATCTTTTAAGTCTTTTATGTTACTAGAAGGCTTTATTTCTAGAAGAGCCAGAGTGTGAGATGGAAAATTGCGAGTTCAGATCTCACCTGTGCTATGAACTTCTTGGATGGCATTAAGAAAGGCTCAGCTTCAATCTGCTGCAATAAATGGATAATTAAGTTGCATAAATTATATTTTCCGATGGTTTATAAGGGTAAAGTACATGAAGCTCCTTCAATACCCTTAGCGTGTATAAACATGGATTTGGATCCTGTCTAAAACTTCCTTGGCTGAAAGGAGGATGTGATTTTCATCAATCCACCCTCCGAAAGCAAACCTGTGAATCCCCCATCCCAGGTTCCCTGTTTGCAAGAAGCAATATTTGAGAGCCATTTGGGGCTGTAGCAGAAATGGGGAGACACAAAAAGTATGCTGTAGGGACAGAAATGTTCTGTCTGGACACTTTAGGCAGGATTCAAGCCACGGCTCTGGTTACCCTTGAATATAATATTGAAGTTAAATATGCATATTTAAAACTAGTTTTTCCACTGAAGAACTCGTTTAGAATACAGGGAGAAGAGATTTAAAAGGGGGGGGGGTTCCCGGAATTTTCAATAAGGCTTAGGGTTTTGATTGCCTGTGCACCATTAATTCTTTAGAAAAATATTCTGAATATTGTAATTTCAAGTTTTACATTGTTCCTTAGGATGCACTGATAATTTCATTGAAAGATTTTCATTCTGGAAATTTTAGAATTATAATTTAGATGCTTGCAGTTTCTAATGCCAAAACTCGAATTTTCTTTGTAATGTGCAACACTGATTTGGCACCTGAAAAAAGTATGTCTCAGTGGGTGATGGTGGCTGCTCTGCACCTCTAAACTCAGAAATTTAAACTGTCATTTGCTTAAGCTGTGTGATACAATTATAAATCGTTTCAAGCATCTTCGCAAAACAATCTTTTAACCCCTTCTAAGGGGGGAAATAAACTTCATTTGTAAATGGTACCAACCTTTTGGCTTATGTCTGGTTATAGGATGGGCAAGATTTCTTCCAAAAACTTGACCAAGACAGTATGGGAAGGGGATGAGAACTCTTACACTGGATAGCCTGCAGAATCATTAACTACCCATTCACAGGTTACCCCACATATAACCAGTATGTCAACCTTTAGAAGCCACTAGTTTTAGTTAGAAAAAGAGATAGTGACAACATCAGGTAAACTTCTTATCATGCTATGCTATCTACGAATAATTCCAATCCCTAATGTTTATACTTGAGTACTGGGTATAGCCACTAGCCGTGGACTATTCATGTGCTTTAATGTCCTTTAGCACAGTGCCAAGTAAGGTCAGACTTTTAGCTAACTTTCTAGAGTCAATAGAGTAAAGGCCATTTGTAGTATAATGGAACAAACAGTTGAGTCAGTCACTTTTATAAGGTAATAAGTTTATAGTCCACTGCAATATTTACTCCTTTTACTGCATTGTCTTCTACCTTTTCAACCCACTTAACCGTGTTATGGCACTATCATGCCTTAGACAGTTTTTAGTTTGTGTTTTCTTATTGTTTGAGTCCTACTGCATTGCTTATTGGGGGTCCTTGCTGTCTAAAAAAATTTGTTTTTTTTTTAATTTTGTAATCTGCCTTGAGTCAGACAACTTTAAGCATTCCTGAATGTGGTGGAATGTTTGGGTCCTTTCCAACCTGGTTTCAGGCCTGACTATGAGACTGAAACAAACTGGGTTGCCCTGTCGGATGACCTGTGCTGGGAGTGCGATTCTGATGGTTCTTCTGGACCTCTCAGTGGTTTTTGATACCATCAGTCATGGTATCCTTTTGGACTTCCTTTCTGGATGGGGACTTGGAGACACCATTTTGCTGTGGTTCTGGTCCTACTTGGAGGGTAGGTTTCAGAAAGTGGTGTTGGGGGATTGCTCTTTCACCTGTGTGGTCCTGCAAGGCTCCGTCTCATCTTCTGTGCTTTCCAGCAGTTAACCACTGGGAGAGGTTATTTCGAGATTTGGGCTGGGTTGGCACTAGTGAGCAGAAAAGATCTTGCTACTGTGCTACATGCCTCAATTACATCTGTATTAAATTATCACAGTGCACTCTATGTGGTGCTGCCCTTGAACTGACATGCTCAGAAACGTCATTTGGTGCAGAATACTGCAGCCATAGCATGTTGATTGGAATGGGTTGTAGGGACACTGTCTCTCTAGTCTTTGCCTATCTGCACTGGCTCCTAATCTGTTTCCAGGCACAAATCAAGGTGGTGGTTGTTGACCTTTAATGTCTTATATGGCATGGGATCACCACACCTGAAAGTGTACGAGCCCTTTTCAGTGGGTTTAGGCTAAAATAATTATTAATGGAATTGCACTGTAGTACTCCAAGATTCTTTCATTTTAAACAGAAACCCTGGGCATGAGCAGGTTAACCGTTCACTGTGTTCCCCATGTTAAGTGACCATCAAAGCTTCTGTTTATTCCACACAGAAAAAATATAGAATTGATTCCTTCCATGTTTCTCTTCTTGAAAGAGTG